CTTTGAAAATCAGTGTGGTTTTAACCGTATACCCGAGAAAAGGGCAGTGAATGCATGCATATACAGGGGATTGAAAGCAACTAGAATACAACATACAGGGATCCTAATCATCAAGCCTAGATTACATTCAGCTGTCTGGACTACTCAATCTTAAGGATGATAATTGACGGAACCAATTGTACAAGTTGAAATTCGGCTCGAAAATTGTCTTTATATTCAACGTTTTATTGGTTCAAACATAATGAGTTAGATTCTTTTTAAATAAAATCTTAAATTTAAATTTTATAAATAAAGAAATAAGTATTAGAAGAGATTTTTTTTTTTATAGAATTTAATATGATTCGATTATAAATTAATTAAAATTTAAATACCCAGAGATTAGTAAAAAAAAAATATATCTTTATAATTAGTTTGTACAAGGTTTAGATAAGGCTAATTGACCAACTTGCATGACCTATAATACCAGAAATATAGATGTGAGAAAAAGATGTTTCGTATGCTTCAAGGCAGACAAAATATCTTTCAACCAAAAAAAAAGGAATGGTTATTCATTATCGACACATTGAACATGTGAAATGAAATCTCAAGTAGTCAAACCAACCTAGCTCATGGAGCGGCGGCCTTCCATTAATTCTGCTCAACCTTTGCCGATCACCCAATGCAGCAACTTGGTTGGAAGAATGTGCCCTTGTTTGTAACTCATGTGGAAGGGTGGGTTGGTCAGGTAATGATCATATCTTAATTTTATGGTGCGTTCGGTTTGCCCCTTTCTCAAAAAAGAAATTCAGGGAAGCCAAAGCAATTTTGTACATCGCTTTCTCTAGCAAATAAACATTTTGGGATTAAATGGATTTAATTGGTTATATAACTTTATAAGTAGTTAGAAAAGTCAAAAATATATTCATAATTAAAAAATTTCAACAATTACCAGTCCTCTATAACTCTTCTATCAACTATTAATATGAGTTTAGTTGAATTAATATTTATTAATTTAAAATTTTGATTCAAAATAAGAGTTAGAGGTTTCAAATCCTATAATAT